CTGGCATCCCCAGCTCTCTTTCCTGGGGCAGGTCCACGCCCATCAGGGTGGTGGGCAGCCCTTGCCTATTGTGCCTAGAAGGGCAGCCATCAGGACCCCTGGCCACTGGCCTGCCTTACTGAAATGCCCCCCTGGGTGAGTCACATCCTTGGGTCTTATAGGCATTTTGGCTTCTAGAAGCCTCTGTGGGAATGCGCTTCAGGCCTGCACGGTAGGACACGTCCTACGGTCCAAAGGCTGTTGAGCTTCTGCCTCTGCAGTCATCACCCTTGGGAGCCTCAGCCCCTGACCTGGAGGAGGGGATAGTAGTCCTGCCCGGAAGAAGGTTGTGAGGACCACCTGTGGACGCATTGTTTGAACCTGACCAGTGGGGATCTGGGTTTTAAGAGTCAGCAGGTCCCGGGCTTCCCTGGTGGCGCAGTGCTTGGGAGTCCGCCTGCCGATGCAGGAGACGCGGGTTCGTGCCCCGTTTCGGGAGGATCCCGCGTGCCGCGGAGCGGCTGGGCCCGTGGGCCGTGGCCGCTGGGCCTGCGCGTCCGGGGCCTGTGCTCCGCAAATGGGAGAGGCCGCGACAGTGAGAGGCCCGCATAACGCAAGAAAAAAAAAAAAAAAAAAGAGTCAGCAGGTCCCTTTTATTCTGTCAAAAAGGCCAAGTTCTTGGCTCTGTGGTCCTTTGTGAGGAAGTAGAGGAGGGTGAGTCCCAACTCATGGAAGGGGGTTCAGCCTCTTCTGCAGACGGGGGGGGGGATGCTGGGAAGAGACCCCTTTGGCAGAGGGGAGAAGAGGCAGGAGAGGGGAGGATGCTGGGAGCAGCCAGTGGGGGCGTCTGGCCAGAACCCAGCTTCGCTTCAGCTTAGGCACAGCCCTCAGTGTGTGTGTGTGTCTGTGTGTAGGAGACATGGGGGGCCCAGAGCATCCCCGGCCTGGTCCCCACCCTGCGGGGGATCCCCGTGACTCCTGTTTAGCTACTCCCGAGCCTGAGTGCTGTCCCCAGGGTGTGAGGCCACAGAACAAGAGGGTCCCCAGTTCTTGATGGGGTGAGAGAGTTCCCCGCTTCAGATCGTACAGAATCGCCCACTCCTAAAGCACGTTTCCCTTCGCCCCTCCCCTCCCTGAGCAGCAAACCCCGCCCAGCCCAGGCAGCTCTGAGCTACTGGACTCCTGAGTGCCAGATGCCAAGTACAGAGACCCCGGGTTTTGAGGAGGGACAGAGAGGAGGGTTCCGTAGTCAGAAGGAGTCAGGGATAGGTCTGGGCTGGACGCAGGGGTGATGGGAAGGAGGTATGAGGTTCCTTATCAGAGGGACTTGGGGGGCCTGCAGAGGAAGAGAAAAGGGCACAGAGGGGCCACAGCCCAAACGCCCATCCTGTGAGTCAAGCTGCAGAGCCGCCCACCTGATCTAGTCAGTTCCAGATGCTATCTGAAGCTCTTTCTGTGAGTGGACGGTTACAAACACACAAGGAGCTGTCCCCCAGAACAGCTGGCCTGTATCCTCAATAATGCCAGCATCCTGGAGCCAGGCAAGGGCTGCAGGACTCTTCCCATGAAAGGAGGCACGAGAGACGTGGCACCAATCCTGGATTGGATCCTGGCACGATGACTCTACCAGAAAGGCCATCAATGGGACAGGCGGCAAAATCTGGATATGAGCTGATATTAGAGAATAGAAATAACGGTGTTCCACTTCCTGAATTTGGCATTTCTGTTGTGGTTATAGAAAGAATGTCCTCTTTTCTTTAGGGGTGAAGGGCCAAGTTGCCTTAACTGACTATTACTACTACTATTATTATTATTAGAGAGACAAAGCCAGTGTGGCCAATGTTAACGATTGGGTTTACTGCTGTGGTACTGTTCCTGTGGCTTTTCTGTAGATTTGACTGTTTGCAGAATAAAACACTGAAGTTCAGGAGCACGGGCCCTCAGGACTGCTGTCTCACCCCAGCCCGGGCTGTGGGTGGACGGTTTGCTCTCTGTCTTGGGGGTGGGGAAAGGCTCTGGCTGGTTCTAGAAGTGTGGCCTGGGTCAGCGGCGAAAGGGCAACGGTCACTGGGCCTCAGAGGCGGGGCCCTGTGGGGACAGAGGCACCTGCTCATCTTCTGTCCTTGCTCTTTCCTAAACTGCGCCTCCCCACAGGCTACTCGGGATGTGGTGCTGAGCCGGGCACCGGAGCAGGAGGAGGACCGGGCAGTGAGCCTGCGGAACGCTGCGGCCATCTACGACCTCCTGAGCATCACGCTGGGCAGGAGGGGCCAGTACGTCATGCTCTCTGAGGTACAGCCTCCTCTGCCGCCCCTCCCCTGCCTCCACCAAGGGGTACAGCTCTGTTCTTGGGAGACCCAGCTGGGGAGTGTCTTATTTCCAGTGCTGAGAGGGCTGCCTTTCACTGGCAGGGTGGTTTTTGTTTGTTTGTTTTACAGATTTTTTTTCTTTTTTTTTTTTTTTTTTTTTGCGGTACGTGGGCCTCTCGTT